AAGAACCTTCCAGTTTCTTTTGCAGTAAATAAAAGTATGATTAGAAAGTTACTTCTACTCTATGGTTACAAAAAGAAAAGCTCATTTTTCCTATTATCTATTTTTTTCCCCCTTATCATCAAACCACAAGTCATAAGTGCATTTTTTTTTCTGTTTCATTGAAAAAGTCTATAAGGGGCTTCTGGTCAGCCATAAATGTAGATGTTGTCTTTTCTGTAATCAAGGAAGTCAGTTTAATCATCTCTGCAAGGTCCGTCATCTGAACCTTTCCATTTTTGAGCATATAATAGTCTTGCTGCAAACAAATATGTGTGTTTTGATTGAGACAAGAACCACCTAGGACTAGCAGTTCTGTGCCCAGAATGAAGTGTGCATAAATCTGCCCAGAGTCTCTTTTGTGTGAGAGGGGCGGCCATATAAATTTGATAAATTAGATTAAATAAATAAACCATTTTGCACATCCCTAATATCAACCTGTTTGTTTTAATTATACTGATACCACCTCAGTATCAGTGGATTTTCTTTTTATTCTCCCTCCCTGTTGATTTCCTAATATCCCCAAATTCACCACCTTGGTTGTCGTTCCTGTGAGCAGAACTGAATAATACTGTTAATAACCTGTCAGTCATTCCCAACTCTGAAGGGTACTAATATGTCCCCTTGTCCTTCAAGATGTTAAATATGCCCTCTGTTTTCTTGGCTGTTTAGGCACATTGAGAGGCAGCAGAATGTGTGAAAAGTCTTTCTGTTTTTCAGACATGGGGATGCTTTGACTCTAACTGTTTTCTCTCCCAGGGAGTGAAGATAAAGTAGCTCCTTCTTTCTGCCTTTTCCAGCTTTAAAGGCAGTGTATTTGAGATTTGCTTGTGATAAATAAATATATAGGGAAGTGACATTTCCCCTTCTAGTGCTCCTCTGTCGTCCTTTTATTCCCTTTCCAAGTTAAAGAACAATTAAAAAGGCAATACTCAGTAACAGAAGAGCAAGGTAAAGGGTAAGTGGCTGAATATATTTGTTTTTTTCACTGTATCTTCTCTTGCTTTCCAAGAGGAGAACAGCTGAGAAAGAAAATGCTTTTTTACATGCACAAATCCCACTTTTGGTGTTTCTAAACTGGATAGCCAGAGGGGAAATGTGGAAAAATAAAAGGATTAATCTTTATGTACTCACCTCTTTTCTTTCTAGTCATTACACAAATGGAAGCATAATATGTAAACTTGCCAGCTCACCTCTGTGAGAGTCAAGAAGGAAACGAAAGTAATAACATTATTCACTAAGCAAGAGTTTAGTAACTTGTCTATGTAAATAAGTACAGGTAGTCCTCACTTAGCAACTGCTTCGGTCATTGACCGTTCAGTTAGATGGTGCTGAAAAAATAACTTTATGACCAATGCCCACATTTACTACCTTCACAGTGCCCCTCAGTCATGCGATTGCCCTTACATTCAGTATGCATTGTCCTGTGCCTGATCTGTTTTTTCCCCCTCCTTGCGGAGCAGAGAGATTGGGGAGGAAGGGATTATAAGAGAATAAGCAGGCACACAATGGGGAATGCACATAGAAAGGAATACAAGGGGAGGAGTTGAAGAAAAAAAATTGGTCAGGCACAGGAGAGATTGCCTACAGAAATCGCTTGGGTTTTTTTCTTTACAATTTCTGTAGGCAATCTCTTCTGTGTCTGACCCAGTTTTTTCTTCCCCCCTTCCCCTCTTGCAGAGCAGAGAGATTGGAGAGGAAGGGATTACAAGAAAGTAACCAGGCACACAATGGGGAATACACTGGCTGTTTGTGTAGCATGCTTGCAGCTCCCAGCCCCAAACATGGTTCGGGTTGCCAGTGCCACTGCATTCCTTTCAGTGTGTATTCCCCATTGTGTGCTTATTCTCTTGTAATCCCTTCCTCTCCAATGAATGTAAATGCAAACATTAATTCCCGTTTTGTTAATTATCCCAGCACCAGCTGAACATGCCAAAGGATGGGGGAGTGGTGAGGAGGCAAACAAACATCAAAGTTGTGAAAGCTGATTAGTCTTGTCTGTTTCAAGCTGCCTAACTCAACACTACCTGAATGAGCATTCCAAAGGGCAGGTGTCAGCCTTGTGAGGTAGTTCAGACAGGAAACACAACCAGATGGCTAATTCTACTTTATTGTAAGGTTACATTAACAGAATCTTGCAAGTCTGAAAGTACATTTCTCCCCCATCGCCCTTACAGCCCAAGAAACTAGGAAGGACCCCTTCTGAGATGTTTGCCACGCCCACATTCTTTTTGTGGGCTAAGCTGCCTCTTGTCCAATTGTTCCTTTGGCTGTGGCTCTTCTCCCTGTCTCCCAAGGTCATTCCTACATACCATTACAGTGGAGGTGGGGAAAAGGAAAGCACAGTTATGATCACGTGATTTCCCACTTAGCAACTGCTTCAGTTAACAACAGTCCTGCCACTCCCAATTGTGGTCACTAAACCACTAAGGACTATCTGTAGAGCACAGTTATTAAATAGAGCACAAATAATGACAAATTGTTGGTATTAGTTGCAGGACTTGAAGTAGCAACTTCCATTAGCCTTTTCCCAATATGGTGTTCTTTAGATAAGTTGAAATACAACTACTTTGACTGAGGTAGGTTTTCCTGTAACATGCTTAGAATTTTGCTATTGTTTTCCAGTTTCACAAGGGGTTCTTTTGGGGGGGTTCCCTTTGAGTCAGTCTTGATTCCTGATAACTGCCTGGAAAAGTCCCTGCAGTTTTCTTGGCTAGGTTTTTGGAAGTGGTTTGCCATTGCTTCCTTCCTAGGGTTGAGAGAGAGTGACTGGCCCAAAGTCACCCATCTGGATTGGTGCCTGAGGTGGAACTAGAACTCATGGTCTCCCAGTTTCTAGCCTGGTGCCTTAACTATTACCCCAAACTGGCTCTCTCAAGTATTGGCAATGCATTTTTAGAGGTATATATTGTCAATTTAGCTGTCTACAGTGATCTGATTTTTTTTTCTTTAAAATTGGGGAGATCATTCTAAGCCTTCACTCTCTCTTGAAATAGTTTGTCTTACTGATGTGGTCATTTTCAAGCAGAGTAGTAAAATAATTGATACCAAGTTGGGCCTGCAACTTTCAAACTGCCCATCCAACATAGGCTTTGGGAGTTGTAGTCCTAATGCATTTGAAGAACCCCATATTCTGAAAGGCCATCTTAGGTAATATTGATTGGCTTAGTTGTCTTAATCCAAACAGCTACAGTAACTTAACAGTGAATATTGTTAACAATCAACAATTGGCTGGTGTGGGTCTTCCGGGCTGTGTGGCCGGGGACAGGGTGAGCTCCTGTCCCTTGTCCTAGCTCATTGCTCACCCAGCAATTCGAAAGTTATTCCATCTGGAGTAGATAAATGGGTACTCCCGTTTAGATGGGAGGAACCGGCGGTGCTGCGCAGGGGAGAAAAATACCAGTGCTGGCCAAACTCCGAATGCAGCCGGCGCGAGCGGCGAGGAAGATCTACGGAGGAGGAAAAGCCCGGATGACCCCCTAGCGACCCCTGCCGGTCACACAGCGTAATTAATTGTATAAT